AACTCTCAAGAACGACGAAAACCCGGCCGGTGATAAGCAGGAAAGGACCGTAAAAAGCGAAGATCCCGAGCTTGAGATTCAAACAGGGTAGCTGGTCGGTGGTTTCGAGTAAGTCGGTGACCTCGGCACCCGCTCGAACCACAAGGAGGACCTCATTCGAGCTTGTCGCATACTTGTCTCTGGAGAGCATTAAGACCGACGCCGAAACGGTGCTCGTTCCTGCCCATCATGGCGGACACTGCTGGTCGGTGTTTGTATGATGGGGGGCCGGTTGGATACCCACTGTAGACCAACCGGACCGTAGCATCGTCCCGAACGCCAGACGTAGCGCTGCTCGCTGCTCGCCAGCTGCTACACGCTACTCGTCACCATATACGCACCGTTCTAGACTGCCGGCGGAGTCTTGAATCGCAATCGAGGGGCTGAGACACGCGCACTGGCAACATCGAATGGCCCGGCACATGAGGGGAACAAATACTCCTGATGATGAGGACGACGATGGCATGGCGGACAAGCATCTCGGGCAAATCTGTTATTGGACTATCGTGGAGAGGGGAGTAATACCGATTGCCCATGTGTTGGATACCCATTGTAGGCCAACCAACCGGTCCTCGGTCTCTCTCCTTGGATGACAATTTGATATCTTCCGGCGAATATCGACCTATTGGAATCTGGACAGCACGCCGAGAAAGCCAGGTCTGAGTTCGTCGATGAATTCCAGTCACAGGGTCTTTGTTCCTCTGTCCTCTCGCTATGCCCCAACTCGACGACACCTGCACAAGCGGCCAGTATGCCATCACGATTCCACGACGGAATCGTGATGGCCGGAAACTGCATCCTGTGCGCGTGCCTCCGTGTCAACGAGTGGCGACAGGCCAGGACGGGGCTGCAGTGCCCACATCTATCAGCTGTGCTGTGTCCCAAGACGATCAGAGCCGCAAGACAAGCCTGAACCGGAATCGGTGCCGGACAGCGGTCGCAAGACCACTGAAAGGTCGTTGCTGGGGCTTGATTCATCGGTTGAAGCTCTGAAACGGTCTGTGAAGGGCTTCGGGGGCCTGGTTGGATACCCACTGTAGGCCAACCGGTCCTCCGTCTCGCCCTCCAACACTCGGCACTCAACACTCGGCTCACCAAGTCCGCTGGCGTATCACGAAGACTTCAGACAGGTCGACAAGAAGTGGGACGGTCCCTTACCAGCCAAGCCAGTCGATTGGACATATTTCCCGAGCGGCGTTGTCCTCCAGAATGTTACGACCAAAAAGACAATCCCGAGCAGCAAGCTCAGTGACGGAGGGAGACGAGCCACCTACTCCCTGGTTGGAGCTGGTGCGTCCATCAGGCATTCTATGATGTGTTGTGTTATGTTCAGCATTTCTATCACCAGAATCTGCTGGCCCCGCGACGCCGGCCGAGGCCAGATTCCCATCCGATTGCTTGGCTGTGGCCTTGTGGACCATTACCACGGACCCTTCCATAAAGAGCCCGACGAGCGGCTCCATATATTGCCGGGCTGGTATCTAGACCGTCATAGTGACTCTGGCGAGCTCGAAGCTTAACATAGCTGAGCCTAGATTCTTTGAATTCACAGTCTCTGGGCAGTGGCGAGAGCGGAGCAAGCGACTACCTTCACCACGCATGCCTCGGGCATTGGCTCCCCATCTTCAACACTACCAGGATTTCGATAAGGAAGAATCGGAAAATGGGGCAAATGGCTCGTCCGCAGCTACGCTGTGTCTCGAACAAAGGGCCGTATCAGACAAGACGTCCGCGAAGAAGAACATGGAAGTGCTCTGGTGGGAAACTTCCCTTGTCACTCACCCCATGCACGCGGCGGCGGCGGCGGTGGTGGTGGTGGTGGTGGCCATATACCCTTGGTGTGTCCTCCAACACTCGGATATGACTATTCCGGCCGTATATTCTGGGTCAACAGCCTATCCTATCGTCTCCCGAGCAAAACCAATGCAAGACCTCGGATAGGAAAGTTGATCCTCCTCCTTGCCGGTGCCCGGGTCGATTTCGACCGAGCACCCTGAGCCTCGAATGTCATGTTCCATCTGGCCAATGACTTTATTCGTGGTACGGCTGCTGGTCGTTGCCCGGTTTGGACTTATTGGAAATCAGCCGGGAATATCACGACTGGTATAATCACAGGATCGGTCCGTTGGTTCTCCCCAGACCATCGTGACGAGAACATTCGACTTCCTCCACTACGGGGCTGCCAGCCTGCGTCAGAGCCCAATGTTCCTATGCATCATGAGCCGTTATCATATACTTCTCGTCTTGCACATGCGTTCTACCCGGGTGTGTCGAACATGTCGACAAGAACATGGCATCGCCAGATCCGTCAATCAGCAGATATCGCGATACGAGACCATCGCGGTCTACACCCACCCGGAAGCCAAAGTTGATGTCACTCTCGTCCGCGGCTTTTTCGAGCATGGCTTGGGTTGGGCGGGGGTGCCCGAAACAGACGTGGAGACTTCGAAAAATAGAAGACGTCTGTTGGGGTCGGCCGAACTCCTGTCCCCGATACGCTGGGAGGGGAAGCTCGTGCCAACATCCTCGTGTATGGATACAACGCTGATGTCTACTCCAAAAAGGCCCCCCCCCCCCCCCCTCCCTCTCCTCACAAGCCCAGCGACAACTTTATATACGCATCCCCACGCATGATTCGTTGGGCAAGCGTCGCTTACCCACTACCGAGGCGAGGAGGCTCCCAGCTGTCCTCATCTCAATCTTCATCTGGACCCAAGGTCGGCCTTGCCCGGGGTACCCACTGTAGACCCGGGCGGAGATGGCGAAGGTGACAGCAGCAGCGGTGGCAGCAGTCACAGGAGCAGCCACTGACGCAACAACACCACCAATTAATGACCTCGGCCCCCGGCCTCGGCCGCAGCCCTATGAAGAGAAACAAAGAAAGAATACATCTTTGATTGCTGGTCTCGACTCCATTCTTCGTTCACCTGCTGATCCTCCGTTCACCTTCCCCCGGGGTACCCACTGTAGACCCGGGCGGATGCGGGTGCTGATGCTGGTGCTGATGCTGGTGCTGGTGCTGGTGCCATTGCCACCGGTCATGACAACGGAGAAGGTGAGAACGGCGACGGTAACGGTAACGACAACAACCACACGGGGGGAGCAGGCAACAGTGGCAGCAGCAGCGTATAGCCGACAGCAAAACAACGCCCTAGGGCGGGCCTGCGTCAGTCGATGGTTCACGAACGAAGGAGAAAAATATCCTCGAGAGGACGCACTCTCAGCGACACCCGAGCAACACGGGCATGACAATATCAACAGCAACCTTCACTACCCGGCACGAAGATGTCGTAGCAAACCTAAGAGCATTCCACAGTTTCGACAATGCACCCATCCCTCACCACATTGGCTTGCGTAAGTTTGGATCTCTGTTTTTTTTTTCCCCCTCCCTTTTTTTTTTTTTTTTTGCAATCTCTATAACTACGATGAACAAACAAACAAAAACTAACTCAGTATGTAGCAGAATGCACTTGCTGGATATTGCCGGCCTCGCTGCCCGCTATCCACGAGCAAGGGGTGATGGAATCCTTCTCCATTAGGCCTGCCTCCGGTCCCTGCTGCACGGACTGTCGACTTGGTGTCTGTTACAGTGGCCGTGGTCCTGAGGATCGCGCTGCGCCAGGTACGATGAATCATTTACTCTGCAAGGCGCCGACGCGACGAACGATCTATATAAGCGGGTTCCCCGGCGTGGTGGCGGTGGCAGGAGACGATTGTCGAGTTTGACGCTCCTGTCTGTGTGCGTCGTGGAGTAAAGTTGGACGGGGTGGAGAGAGATGCTGCGGTTAACCTTTTATTCAATGCTAAGAAGAGGTTTAGGTTTAAATGGATAATTCACTCTCTTTCGACTACTTTCCATCATCTTTGACTATATCTGCCCCTTGCCCATTGAATGAATGTGCGTGATGTTCATGGCTTCTCGTGAATGCACTCGTTGATGTGATTGATTCATCGCACCTTTACCCCGGGGGCATTCAATACGGACTGCTCTTCAACGCCGGCCAAGCTCTCAAAAACGTGATTAAATCAACCGGTTCATCGGGGTTCCGGGGACGGGCAACACCCGAGTTCCTCCTTCCCGACCATCCACATATATATATATAGATATATATATCAATAAATGTTATGAGTGATTGTTCAAACTCAGAGATAGAGAGCGATTCATCTTGTTCTTTTATTCCACGAGAGGTCCAAAAAGAAAGACCGCGATTCTCAACGAGGGGGGGGGGAGGGAATTCGTCGTCTCTCCAGTCAGGTGCCTTCACGTCATAGATCATCACAGTGTATATAGTGCTAACAACACTCATCACACGGTATCTAGACAGTCCACACCTCTCCGTCTTCAGTATCTTCTTGACAGAGTCAGTTTTACGTTTTATTTCCCTCCTAGATAGTCTAGCTATAACTATAACTCTCTCTAGGTATTTTAACTGCGTGCCACTGTCCAGGCTTCGTGTAGCTCGAGTTCTTTTCCCTTCCCACGTATGCTTTTATATATATATATAGTTATGGTACCTTGGCCACCCGACCTTGTCTTGCCCCCCACCCCCCTTGCGCAATCCCTTTCTCTGTATCTAGTATTTTGTCTATTCATAATCTGTACTCTGTATCTAGTGTATTTATTCCCTACCTATAAAGAGCGTAAACCCATCTTCCACTTGCTCTCAGTTAGACGTAGAGGCTACAAGAACATCTACTACATAACCATAGCATTCATTACTTACAATCACTATTCTTCATACTTTCTTTTGATCCCTACCACAGTGGTTCATCGTGATTCTTACGCTTATCAGCAGAGAAATGAACTTGGCACCTGACTCGACTCTGTCAAGATACCTACCTACATACATATATATCTATTGAAGTTGGTGTGGATCGCATACAGTATAAATAAATACTGTTCACACTAAACGCACTGTAATGATCCCCGACAACCAAAAAAAAAGGAACTCGAAAAAATGTGGTCCCAGTGAGGCTTGAACTCACGGCCTTCGCATTTACCAATGTTACATTGCTATAATATTAGTACGACGCTCTAACCAACTGAGCTATGGGACCAGATGTTAAACTGCCTTGTTGATGGCACCCAAGAATCTGGCACAGTGACAAGGAGTTGGGAACCTGAACATGAACATGCAGTTCCTTGCCACTTACTTGTTCACCGTCGTGTGTTGGCCAACATGTGTAGTTAGTCGCAGCCCGTAGAAAGGCAAAATCAATTGAGCTAAACAAGACCCAGCAATAACCCGGGGGTATCTTGGTATTCTATGCTTGTTGCTCCTAAGCCAGTTCAAATGCGCCCGTCATCTATTCCCTTTTCTTCCACTTGACATGACCGAAAGATATTAGTATGTCCCATTTAAAGAAGTCGCGGGCATCCCGTCCTGCCTCCGTACTGCCCGATCGCACAGCCGAGCAGCTAGTTGCCGTTTGTCGCATCTCTTCAATTCGGATTTTGAGGTTTCCATTCACTGCTCCAAATGAACGTGCCACACCGCCACTGGGTTCCTTTCTCCTTTTCGCCAGAAGGTCCAATTGGCCGTGGACAAATGAAGAATGATCTCCCTGCAAAAGACTCGTGGTTAGCTGCCTAAAATGCCAGGGAAAAGCGTACAATTACGAAAAGCACCTTGAATAATTACTGACCACAGTTTACCCCTGGTTTCTTCGTCACCAGACTGATGCAATCCTCCTCATGTTCGCATTTAGGAACCACGCGCTTGCCTAGGAGTTTCGACCATGACTCCTTTGCTTCGATAGGATCAATAAAATTACCCGAACCTATTGAGGTTGAGTTTCTTTTGGTCGCGTCGACATCTGTCTTTGGTGTTTGTGGTTTACTCGGAGTGGTAACGGGTTCAGGTTCCGCTGTGCCGTCAGAGTCGTCGCATGGGAGGGGGGCTTTCTGCTCTGAATTTTTGATATCATTGTCTGGCGCTTTGGATTTGAAGAAGCCCATCAAACTGCTTTGTCCTTTTCTAGAAGGCTCCTTGTTGAGTCCACCTCTTGCCTTTTTCTGAGGTTTGTTGGGAGAGGAGACGGAAGAGGAGCGCTTGAGGTTACCAGATGCAACCTTGGTTGGCGAAGAAGTCGATGCAGCAGACGGTCTAGGGGATTTCTCACTCTTAACATTGGGAAGCTCGGACGATGCCAGATTTTCTGATTCGCTGGCCTGACTCGAGGCTTGGGATAGTGTCGGGACAGTTTTGGGGGCTGCGGGTTTCTTGAAGAACATATCCTTGATGTTCCGACGGCGGTCAAATTCTGGTATTAGTTTTGCTGAGATTGGCAAAAGATCTTTAGTAGACCATTCTCTCAATCGCTTTCCATCTTTGAATACCCCTGGCGGATTCATGATATCTTTGATATGTACCTCCTTGCCGTCAATTTTGACTGTTTCGTTTAAAACGGCAAATATCGGGCAGTGGTCGGATCCCATCAGTCCCTCTTGGATATTCGAGTCGGTGAACCAAGACTTCATGTCGTCGCTGCACATGACATAGTCTATGCGACTGCCAAAGTTGCCCGGACGAGTATTTTTCTTGGTATCCCAACAAGTAAACATACCCTCTCTAGTAGGATTGAAAAGTCGACCGAGATCCCACAAGACCGGATTCTCCCTATCCTTGTCTCTTGGTCCGACAACATTTCCTTCGTAAAGAAGTTGGTTAAAGAGACGGCGAGAAGGGGACGAGAAGAAGTTAGCCACCGTCACGCCCTCTTTCCTCAAGCGTTCATAGAGATTCGCCGTGTCCATTACATCCCTGACTACATTGATATCGCCCGTCAGTATAACGCGCTTGCCCATTACCACGAGGTTGCGAACGCGCGCGTCCAATGCCTCCAAGTAGGCGAGTCTGAAGTCGTCCCTGGATTCATCTCGATTGGCCGGGCTATAGGTGCCAATCAAAACGAAAGCTGGGAATTCCAGTATAACGCAGCGGCCCTCTGAGTCAAGCATTAACTCATCGATGTTTCCATACAGACGGAGTTGATCAGGTCGAGGGTACCCCCCGATTTGTTGTTGTTGCGGGAGGTTTCTAAATTGAGTGGTAGAGTTGGGTGGGCATAGAACCCCAACGATACCCTCCTCTGCCCGGATGGGGGCGCAGACCGAACTTCGAGTATAGACGGCGACGCCAGCATAGCCTATTCTTCGTATTAGCTGCGGGATACAAGTAACGGCAACTACAGAATATCGCAAATACCCTTCTTATGCCGTGGGAGACTGAAGAACACATCCCAACCAGGAACTAAAACCATGTCATCCTGGAGATCTTTGCGTTGTATCTTTGTTTCTTGCATGACAACGATGTCTGCTTCCAGGATATCAAACATGGCCTACGCGTGCATCAGTCACTGAGATGCGCCGCTGCCCTACGTGGAAGTATTGCATACTTACCGCAAAGGTCTTTTTTTGAGTCCATGGCTGATAACCAAATGGATTGCTAGTCGTGTCAACGCCAGTCATGGATATATTCAGGCGTGAGACCATACCGAATGCCGTTCACTAAGTGTTTATGTCAGTTAGATCATTAGCCACCCTTAGTTACAGTTACCGGCACAAGGGCTTACCATTCCACGAGGTTATGCGTAGGCCCATATTGACGGTGTGTCTAAGGAATACGGAAGAAACAAATCAAATTAAGAGGGCGCAACCGTCATTATCCTAGCAGCATCACCCAAGTTCATCCTCGAGAATTCACGGGGGCGCCGGCGCGTGCGCGTGTGTGCGTGTCATCAGTGACAGTGCAAGTCTAGATAGGGCGAGAGGTTCACGAGATAATGAGACTGGAATATGTAGAATGGAAAGAAAGGGCGCTCAGGTTTGACCCAATCGCAAAAATGGACGTCCAGGTAACTACAATCCACATCCAGGTTGATGTCGCGAATGGCAGTCGCGATGGGTTATTGCGTCACCAAACTAACCCGAAGTCATGTGATTTCTCCCTGGCCAATTGGTCTAGGCGTTCTGCGGAAAGCGCACTTACCACCTGGAGATGGCCTGTTTGATTGGTCCCGTCTAAGCCGACTACCGAAGAATGCCCGAGCCTAAGCCCCGAGCTTCTCAACCTGACCTCATCCTCCGGGTCGGCCATTTGTCTGTTACTAAAAGAGCCTCAATTGGCGATTAAACAAACGAACACCTAAAGCCCTCACGAAACCCGTCGGAAAGAAATTTACAATGGTGGTCTCGAGACAAATCGTCCGCGCCGTCCCTCGGGCAACCGCCCAGCTTCGCGCACCCGTCGTTCGCTCGACTATTCAGCGCCGATTCGCTTCCACCGAGAACCAGTTCGTCAAAGAGCGCCGGGAAATCAAGGAGCACGCCGCCGCCACCACTGGTGAGTAAACCTCACGATATATTTCCACGTTTTGGTATTTCCGCTCGTTGACTAATCGTCTGGCAGAACTCTGGCGCAAGATCTCCGTCTAGTAAGCCAGCTCTCTTCTCCCCTTAACGTATCGAAGGAACCCGACCGATTACCATTACTGCGTTGAACGATATACATACCCACCCTCGCCGAGTAACCCAAGCGCATCGCATCCAAAACATCAAAAGAGAACACTTCAAGAACGACAACAAGAACAAGAAAAGGACTAACGAAGAACATCCAAACAGCGCCGTAGGCCCCTGCCTCGTCCTCGCCGCCGCCAACGCATACTACCTATGGAACGAGCACTGGGAGCACTGGTCTCACCTGCCCCCTCTAGAAGAGCGCGTCGAGTACTCCTACCAGAACATCCGCACCAAGAACTTCCCCTGGGGTGACGGCGACAAGACAATATTGTACGTGTCCCTCCTAGACGCCCATGAGAAGCACGAGGAGCTAACAAATCCTTCTAGCTGGAATGACAAAGTCAACTACCACAACAGGGACAAGACCCAATAAGCTTCCCCGCCTCGTGAAACGGGATGGTGAATTGGGTCCTAGGGAAGGAAAAAGAAATTCGGGTTTCTAGAAAAGAAACGAAAGAATGAAGAGAAAAACCCTTATGGATATAGAACGACCCTGGGACCCACGGTTAATTATGTCATCGCCACCGTCGAATTCACCGGAATGTGCTTTAGCTCTGTTGTAGATACGTAACCTTTCCTTTAATTCAATGCAGATTATACATTACTCACGGAACGAAACTCCCGTTCTTTCGTACCTTAAGTGAAGTCTTGTTCAATCTCATGTATCGGTTCTCTCGGTCGTTGGCGAAAAGGAGATCCACATCACATACTCAGGGAAAGAGTCAAAGAGGATCGAACTAGTCAGAGAAACCACCTCGCAAACAGGGCTCAAATTGACTATCTGCGACGAAGTGGATTGTCCAAGCACCAATATACACACGCAACGTTATTGTTCTAACACTCAAGTCTTCTTTTCCCCATTTCGGGTGTCCGTGAAGAAAGTAAGCTAATCAACCACCAACTAACTCAACGAATGAGCCAACAATGAATGAGGCTCAGGAGCAACATCCAGCTCTGGGTACACCACCACCCACCACCATATTCTCAGAATCTAGAAATAGGACGTGCTGGCCAGGGACAATTAATAAGTGTGTTCAATAACCTACCAACCACATTTTCCGTGGTCGGGGGCCAAGCGTGTGCAGTAAAGTGATTTGCCCAAATACCTTTTCTTACTCTTCCTGGTAAGAAATCTTGCGCATCTCGCCGAGTCTGTGTCGAGCCGCATTAAGCGCGTTCTCAAGCTGGAGAATTTCAACCTATTCAAAGAGGGGGGAGAAAACAAACAGTGATTAGCATATCTCTCCACAGAGCTTTCACACCGAAAAAAATGGCATCTTCCATACCTGTTGTTCCATCTCCCTGACTTTGAACTCATGCGCACCGAGCTTGGAATAATCGACATTATCGTCTTCCTGGTTCCGGTCCTTGATCATGTTCTGCACCTGTCTAACCAACGATCGGCAAGCAGCACCCACGGCCTTGCTGGCCTGTTCAAGATTATCTTGACTCTTGCTCATAAAGCCGGCCTTGACACGACTGGCAGCGACGAGCTGGGCCGTAGAGGCGGCTACATCGTTTGATGCTACGATCAACT